TATTGCTTTTGGGGTGCTTATTAATGTACATCAATTTTGTTAAGGGGTTTGTAATGTATTTGGGTTATTTTAAGACACTTTCTAGGAGCATTCAGAGTGAAATTTCAGTTCGTTTGATGACCATGGCTCTGGTCATGTTAGAAATATATTTATACCGGAAACTATCACTTGATTTTGATTTTTATTTTAGTATAAATTTGGATTTTAAATATATATTTTAAATTCATTATTTTTATTACACGTATTAATATAATAAAATATTATTTCGTATCGAGAAATAGCCATAATTTGAAAACCAAAGTGTTGTAAATTAATTTATATAAAAGTAAGTACAGTTACTTTCTATACAGGAAAAAATACTCAATATTTATACTGATATATAGGTACTTATATAAAAATAAAGTTAATATATTTTCCATATTTTAATTAAGTTTACATATCACTATTTCATTTATTCCTTCTGAGAGGACATCCTAGTTTATAAATAAATACTTTTACTAATCAAAAAACCTTATATAACCCATTATCCCTGGTTTATCCTTTACCTCACATCTCTAATCAGATTTTTTTCCTATATCTTGGACTGACAGGTTGCCCCGCTTGGACGCTAGGTGGCGTCTGGAGTCGTACGTCTGTCCAGCGCGTTATATATTTACTTACGACTGTGCGACGAGTGTCTCGGCGGACTTCTTTCCTTCGCCTGCTTTTGTACTGAATCATTGCCGGCCCCTTCGGTTGGCAGTGCCGAAAAAAAAGCCAAGCCGTCGACTGTCTGCCCCACTGTCTCATATTTTATCACAGCCGCAGCCGCAGCCGCCGTCTCGAGTGGCCAAGTGTCTTGGCCAGGGGTTTTAGCCAGGGTTTTTTGCTGCTTTTTTTTTTTATCCCCCGACTTTGGCACATGCTCTAAGACCGTTCGCTGGCTGGATGTTTTTCCTTTTATTTTTGTTTTGGCACAGATTTACGACTTTTTATGCTGTTTTGATTTGTTTTTGCATAAGGGTGTTCACGTGGCCAGACTTCCAATTCGCGAATTGGCCAAAAGTCGGCGGTCTGCAGTCGCAACTGTTTGGCCGTTTGTCTTGTCAGTGGCGTTGTAATTGGGTTTCAGAATATGACGGAAAGAGTGTTGCTAATCAGCAAATCACACTCTGGCGTTGAGTAGACGAATTACACCGCACTTCGTGGATTTTTATTCGGATTTTTATTTATTCATGTCCATGGATATTTATACGGACGATTGGCAACCTGTTTGGGCCATAGAAAAAATATGGTAAAATGGTAAAATGGAAAGGCGTTTCCTCGTCCAGTCGTCTCGACCATCAATCTTGAGTTAAAGTGTCGCTCAGGACATGGCTTCGGTTTGGTTTTTGGTTTCGGTTTCCTATAATTGTCAAAGGGGATTGGTCAGAGGTTTACTTAGCCTATAAACCCAAAATTTTTGCATTTTAATTCGCCCTCTTAACTTTATTATGGTCTTGTTAATTCCCTCCATAAACCCATATTTTCATATCTACATGTCTCCGAGAGCAATAACCATTAATACTTAAATGTCTCTGAGGTGGAATCTTATGCCAATATTGCAAATTGCACATGGCACTTGGCCAATCAACCGGAGACATTAAAGAATTGGCCAATATGAGATCATAAAAGAAATGCATTCTAGTTAAGTTCATTTGCATTTAAATGGATAACGATTGGGGAGAAGATCTTGGAAGATCTCAAGTGGAATCTATTTTCGGGCTGCAGGTTGCCTGTTACTTTCTTATTTAATTTAAATATTTATATTAAAAACACGATGAAACTTAAAACAGTTTCAAGGCTATTTAGCAATAAGAGATCCTTTACTTCAATGTTTATATGGGTGAATTTTTATTTCAACTAATAAATTTTAATAGATAACTTATTTCCTCTCCCCAATCCTTGCTACCTTTTTTAGTCTAAATATATATTTTACCAGGCCAATGACCTTTTAAATTTAACTTCTTTTAACACCCAACTCGTTGTAAAACATTTAAAGCCCAATAAATGGGTCCTAGCACCGGTTAACAGCCCTGGGCAGGATCGTTTTGTAGGACAGGGGAAGATAGGGAAGGCCCAGGACTGGATGGGATAGGTTAGTACAATATAGAAGAGAGGATAGCATAGGGACAGGGTGGGTAGGGCAGGGAAGCCTCTTGTCTGGCAGCTGGCCAGTTGCTGTTTTTGCCGTTGCAAGTCGCAAGTTGGGCAGTTGGCCAGGTGCGGGTGCCCCACACACACTCACAGGCACACTCGCACACCTCACCTCGCCCATAAACTGGTTGCTGGACATGAGGCGAGACCAAAAAGGCAAGTAACAGGCCAAAAACACAAGCGTGCCGGCATTGCCATCTCGGCTATTTTCTAGACAATTTTTAGAGGATATTAAATGGTACAGTAAGTCTGAGGGTAAGTTTAAAGATTAATTATAATTAAAAAAGGGGTCAAGAAAAGTATGTTCTTAAAGCGAAAAATGTATTTTTGTTAGTTAATAATTCTGCAATAATTTTAAAAGAATTTATAAGTTACTTTTCTGGTACTGTGGCAGCTTTGATCGCACATCCAAACATTTTAAAATATACAATAAACGGGAATATAAAAGCATAAACAAAATATTACAGGTTTTATAAGAATGTATTTTGGCTTATAAATAAGTTAAGAATACAAGAATTTAATTTGTAATTTATTTAATTTATTTCAGAATTAATTGAGTTAGAAAATGAACAAGAAGTCAAACATGTTAATGAAAATCTGAATTCTAGGCTTGACTCTTCTTTTATATAAATTTTGATATATGATTTGTTTTTACTTTATACCTTTTTTTATTTATCTTTTTTTTTAGCCATAACTCCAGTTATGGCCATCACTGCCTAGAGTGGCCGCGAAAGGCTTGGAACTCTGCGTGGCTTGGCGCGGAACACACCCGCATCGCGGCAGCAGACAGGACAGCGACTGAGGCTCTGTTTAAAACCAGATTAGCGCCCAAGTCTGCGGCTAATTTTTGTCGGTGGGCCTAAGCAAATTTGAATTTGAATGTTAGCGGGTGATAGTCGCTGTTTTTGCATTTTTTCTATTTTTTTTCCTTTTTTTTTTGGGTGAACGAAAGACCACTTGGTCAGTTGGCGAATGCTGAGACTGGGGCTATGTGTGTGTCTCACAATCTCGCTGCGCTGGCGGGTTGACAGTGCGGTGCCTGTGAAATATAGGATGACATGGGGCATGGTTATGGTTACGTGCATACAAAAGCCACTAAGCTGATTACGAAATGTTGACCTTTTCCCCGGTTAAAACGGCCACTTGTCTGCGCTCCTTTGGCGGCATTCGGCGATCCCGAGGAGAGGTTTATGTCAACGGCTTTTCTTTGGGGTCTCTGTCTCCTTGGTCCCCGCGATCTCTCAGATAATTGCACTCGAATTGAGTTCAATTTAATTCGCCCATAATTCAGGTGGCTCCCGCTAATGGCTGAACGGGTGGCACTGTCGCCATTGGTGGTTCCCCCAACCTCCTGCTTATCGTTTGCCCCATAAACCAGGCTGGAAAATGCCTGCCGTAAATCCAAGTACTTCCACTTTGGCAAACAATTAGCTTCGTAGTTCGAATTAGTTTATAGTTATTCGAGTGACTCATTCGATGGGCTTGAGTGGAAGTGAGTACTTTTTGGGTAAATATTAAAGACTATTTATGAACATTGGCACTTGTCTGGGGTGCAATGATTGATAAGGCTAAAGTGGGTTACCCAATAGGTGCAGTAATTGGGCATTGGGTGGGGAGACTGCAAGTATTACAGCACTTTTTTTTATTACATATCCGAGGTTTAAAGTACAGTCATTAAGTAAATTAAATAAAATATACATTTTGGGAGGAGGTAATATTCATTACAGTAAATAAACCCCATGAAAGAATAACTTTAATGCCCTATGAGTAAGTACATTTTCAATGTAAAGATCAGATCCACATTGAGAACTGTACCAAAACACACAAATATCTCTAAAAATTCCCAGTGTTTCGAAATTTCGATGTGCAAAGCTTCGCTGGATGCGTCCACATGCCGGCAGCTGGTCTTCCTACACATACCTGCGCACTATCATCGTCCATTCACACCCCTGGCTCACCAAGCCCGATCGCGAGGGATGGAAATCAGGGGCCAAAATGGTGGGAAAAAGTTTTGCAACCCCCGGCAAGCCAAGTGAGACAAAAGCACCGGCTCTGAAGAGGCGTCGCCGCCAACCTGGTGTCGGGTACGGAGCACCAAGCACGTAGCACCAAACACCCAGCACCCAACACCCAGCACCAAGCACAAAGTACCGGTTACCTTCAAGGACACAATCCCTATCCCTACACAGAACCCACCCCATGACCATCACCACCCTGTTGCTGCATGAATGTTATCCTGCAGCTGCGCAGTAAATCCCGTCCGGCAGCAGGGTGGCTTTCATTTTCGGTGGGAAAATAAATCACTCTCGGCTTGCTTTGCTGATTAATTGCCGCGCGATTTTTCGGGGAACTGTACCTGATCGAGGTTGGCTAAATGCAGCGGAATGCAACGACCTCATGTTGCTCTTTTCTTAGGAACAACTGTGGGAATGTTCATTTGATTTTGTAATATTTCTGGATGGCTGCCTCCTCCTTGGATTTGCTCATTTGGAAGCTCTTTGGTTAGCGGGCAATCAAGTAAAATAATTTAATTTGAATGAGCAAGAAGTAAAGATGTAAAGGATACATTTTTGATAAGCTCTCGAAATTCCTGGGAAAACTCTGCATGGTGCAACAGTCAAGAGCTCCCACTGATAAGAATTTCCATTGAAAGGCAATGGACTGCAAATAAATTTAAGGAAATTGAGCCTGGGAAAATTGCCAAATTTCTCAGATTTTATTGAGTAATAATTGTTGCCTTTTGTTGGATAGAAAAATAATAATTCTTTACAATTGACTTACCCAAGTTAAAAAAATCCTAGCAAAAGGAAAGGCACTATGAGAAATTAGATCTGGAAGCACAATCAATTTAATCAGCACATATTTAATTTTCGCCATGGACTCTTTGCCTTTGGCCTTTGCTTTTCCACTCGGGCAACTTTCCATTTCCAGATTGCCTGCGCATGTGCGCCCCATCCATAAAACCAACAGCATTAGTCAAGAGCGGGACTTGGGTCCTTGGGGGGATTTGGAAGCACTTGCAGTCGGAGGCGTAACGAGCCGGCAGAGATTCGACATTCGGCTGACAAATTCGCACTCATTTGTTGTTGGCGAGGAGTTTTCTACGCCGGCGGCCACGCAGATTGAGACACTCGGCACCCGATCCCGGCCAGCTGCACTCTATGCTCATCTATTCACCGGAAAGGGGCTTCAGGAGAACCTTGTTTTTAACTCCAATCCGCAGCAGCACTTCAGGGAGTCGGTGTACTGGATTAACCCGTAGGAGCCACCAAAGACCCACCTGTGATCGCGGCGGTGCAGGGCATCCACTTTGCCCTCGGGCAAACCGCAAAGAACCTCGCACTTGACCGTCCGGATGGCGCAGATATTCGTCGGCCTGAAGCCCCGCAGGCAGGTGATGAATTCCTCCGTGGTGTCCCAAATAAAGTCCCCCAGCAGCTTCCTATAGTGGAGATCCCCCTTGAAGATGGCCACCCGGGCGGTGGTGAGCAGGCGATAGAGGTCGAAATCCAGTTCCACCATCGCAAAGTAGGGCTGTGGTCCTGTCCAGAAATGAGATATTGGCGCTATGATGATCTTCTTGGCACTCATCAAGCGTTCCACTTTGCGGCCAAACCCCGAAATGAACTCGTTCCCATGATGCAGCAGATAATTCACTGTCCACTCCACATCCAGTGTGGTCGTGTCGGAGATGTACCAGGGAATGGCCTTCACATGGAGGCGCACTTGGTCGGCAATCTTGTTCTCCACCAGAAAGACCAGGAACAGGAAGTCGGTGAAGAGCTCGAAGCCCGCGTTGTCGCTTATGAAGTCCACGATAAGCTCTTGGTCATTTACCCTGCTTCTGTTCAGGCTGGATGGGGTGAGAGAGGGAGAAATGTTATTCTTGGCAGGATACAACTTTGCAGGAAGCATCGAGAGCTCCCACTGATGGGACTTCTATTCAAAAAGGAATAGATCCTGGAAATATTTTGTGTATTTGCAATCAATTGTTATTCGATTTACCATTTCCATAAAAGCCAAGAGTCGTCCACTAGAAGTTGCCGATCAAATTGTGCCACTTGGACAAGGACATCTATATCCTCCGGGTTCTCGGTCTCCTTGAATTCGTAGGAACTCACCTGCTGGCCAAAGCGGTTGCTCCACAGATTAAATACCAGCAGCTTTCTGAAGCTCTCAAAGTCCCCGGCCAGTCCGTGAGTGGCTCTCAACAGGATCTTGATGGCAGGCTCACAAGCCAACATGTCATCGCGCTTCAGGTGGAAGAAGCAGTCGTAGCCGGTAAGGAAGCGACTGTTCTCAAAGAAGGAGTATAGGCGCCGGTACAGGTAGCACTCGGCGTGCAGCCAGCAGGCACGGAAGTAGCACCTTTTGGGAAACGGCAGCTCCGTGAGGAAGGCGTTCCACTCGTTCTTATCCGGCTCGTTGCCACGAAATACCTGAAAGGTTCGATCACGGTTCAGGTCCATCTTCAGTCGCTCCACGGCTTCCACTATCTGCCGGATGTCCTTTTGCACCTCTTCACCGTATTTCTGTTGAAGCATCGGTCCATCGGCGGATAGCTGCTTGACCACCTGCTGCATGACTCCCGGCATCCGCGACCTCAATGTGAGGTAGGCGTAGCTCTGCTTGTATCTCCCAGAAAGCAGAGAGTGTCGCGGCGTAGGTCCGTCTGTTAGATCTGTGCCCTGGGATCTGTCCGAAGCCCCTGAATACCGGTGGAGATTCCGCAAAGGGACGACGGTTGTATAGCCAGCCATGTTGAATAGTAGCTAGCCAGAAAAGGAAAAGAAAACAGAAAATTTAATTTAATACAAACATCTGATTGGAGGAGCAAGCCTCGCTGATCTATACATGTCTTTGGACATTCAATGAATATTCAGTTTAAGTAATACCTGGAAGTGGCCCCACATAAAGTGCTAAGTACTGTGGGAAAACTCTTGGCATTAATGCGATATCCTCTTCCTTGAAACGCTTCCTTCCGCCGCCCAGGTGTTATCCGCATCGCGGCATGTCCAAGTGTAATTTACAGGCTCGGTGGCAAATAAAATTAGCATATTCCCTCGGCTGATTAGAGTGCTGCTGCCCTTGATCCTGGGATTGCATCCCCAGGAAAAGGTGCATCCGGCTTGGGTTTTGGGAAAGTGAAAATCATAACAGGCAAGGGTTAGGGTTAACGATTTAGCATAATTGTCACATGTTAATAAACAAGTCCGCGGGCACTGTGGGAATCTCGTTCTCTCTCTTTGATGGGGTTAATTCTATGCTAATGGAGCAAGGTGTGCACTTCCTCTGGCAACCCTTCCGACAGACACAACAAGATACGATCCCCTTCGATCCAATCTAATTGAATGTTTATGAACTGCGGATGACGCAAGTGTTCGAACCCCGATCCCTGGGTTTCTGGTTTATTTGCATAAGCATTTGCCAAAGGAAGCCGAACTGATATGATTCTCAGTGTTTGTTCATGACACATTCATGCTTCCAGAAAGTGAGAAAAATTATATAGAAAATGTAATTAAAATTTATTTTCTATATTTTGTCAGAGTTCTAAATATTAAAAAAAAATAAATTAATACATTTTTATTAAAGTTTCTTTTTACACAATTTCTTTTAAATTTTAATTTTTTATTATAGATTTTTTGCCACCATTTCTTTCTGTGTAGCACTTACCCCTTAGGTATTTTCTGTGGCAGACACCGGTGCGTCAAAATAGTGAAAACTTGCGACTCTTTATCGCTGGCCGTGCACCTTAGAGCCCAAGCCCGCCTATTCGCATCCAGGTGTTCTCTTCCTCGGAAATCAAGAACTTCCCCCGTGACAATCCGGTTCCCAGTTCGGTGGTGAATCCGTCGGTTTCTTCTGAGTCTACGTTTCTGATTGCGGCTCAAGGTGATATATTTTCAGTGCGCCATTTTCGATCCGTTTACGAGTTGCGAAGACGTTACTTTTGATATACCCTAGCAAGAAGTTCATTAAATAGAGAACTATTATATAAAAATTTTGTAAAATATTAAAAAGCCCAACTAAATTAATTGAAAAGAATTTTTTACGTTAAGTATATCTAAGAATATATATTTTTTCTTTTGAGAAGCTTTTTAAAAATTACAATAAATATATCAAAATATACCAAGACTTTTCCTTGAACCCACTGCCATGTAAGGGTATTTCAAGCCTCTGTTTCAAGGGCTCATAAATTCCATACTCATTTTGGCTGAACTTCAAGGGGGTTGGGACTGGATTGCGTTGCCTTATGAAATCACGAAACCAAAATCGCCGAGCAGCTGCGCAGTTATTGTGGCAAGTTCTGGCATGTGCTGGTTGTTGCTACGCAATATAGGTCTTTTATATATTTCTGTTTTTATTTCAGGGTGGAGTTTCACCATCTAAGACCGGGCATTGTTCGATCTCGGACCCAAGCAGGTCGAATTAAGATCAGACTGATATACCGCTTACGAATCCGATATTCAGCGATCCTCGCTCCCTATACATTTATCTCCCAAAGTAACCAAATTATGTTCTGCCATAAAAATGCCTCAACTTTCACCGCAACCAAAGGAAAAAAAAAAGTGACAAAATATGGCTCACCCGGTAATTGCTCCCAGCAGATCAGTGAATATATTTATGTTATTGCTGCCCCCAGATTGTGGCAAGTAAAAAATTGCATTATCAGAGTCGTAAACAAATTAGGGGAGCCAACGTAAAAAAAATGCCCAGAACGAGAGCGGAGAGATCGGCAGCTGCCTCTATATACACATACTATATAGGCGGTATGTCTGGGTATGTGGACGGATAATCAAGGCTCAAGTGGCGGGTCCCATTAGCTGACACCGCCGCCAAGAGAAGTGCACACAATATTTTAGAAACAATGGCCAATGCGACACGGAGAAAAATAAGAGGTTTAACTTGGTAACAATTTATCATTTAAAATTTTAAAAATATTTTTGGAAAATTTGGAGTCTAATGTCTATGATTTAAATATTTATTATTTTATGTAGATTTTTAGGCAGTAAAAATATGTATTATTTTCTGATTTGGATTGTACTTAAAATTTTTATGAAAACATACTGCTTGCCTGAAGTTTAGCTCTTTATAAAATAAGTGCAATTACAATTTTTACTTAACTAAATATTTAATAATTTATTATTACTTCAGAACACTCTAAAAAGCTGTATAAAATGTATACATCTATTGGTCGCTGGTTCACCAATGATTGTAAGGTTGCTTATGAATGTCTCTTAACAAAAATCTTGTAAGTTTGTACATCATTTTTAGACTCCAAAAATGTTTACATTTTTCCCCATAATTATTTCGAGTGCATCAAAGTAGCCTAAGCTCAACAAGATTAATAACTCGCTGGCGCACGTTCAATTAATCTTTCGCTGCGCCTGCTCCGGAACTCTGGAGCTGTGGAAGCTATGGAACTGCAACTAGAGTCGGGAGCTGGGAGCTGGGAGCTGGGAGCTGGCTGACATGGAAATCGAAGTCCCACCAACTGACAACTTAACGGCACGTCTCCGGAACGGATCCCCTTGGCTGCGACAGTGTCCCGGTGGATGGGATGGTATGAGACGAGATGAGATGGGATCGTGTACCTGCCGCATTGTCAGTGTCAATTGTGACAGTGGCTGCGACAGGGGGCTCACTCCCCCGAAAACAAACAAACGGACACGTTCTCCCAGGGGGGATGGGAAGGAAGGTGGCCGCCCCGCGATCATGCAAAACATTTGCCCATGAACGTGACAAAACTGAAGAACACGCTGCCGAATCCTACTAAATTAGTTGTTTTAGCTGCGCGGCTCTAAATTTAGGAGCTGCCGCATTGGACGACCCCTCGGATTTTGGGCGTGCGGCAATCCATTGGCCATAAATCAATTATACGGCCCTAGCCGTATTTATAGACCGACTTCTGCTCGGCTTCAGGTGCTTCGGGTGAGGGAAATTCCATGCCATATAGCGGCAATAATTTCAAACATTTTCATAGCTCAAATTTATGTAAATACAATGCCGACAGCTCGAATATGCTGCTGCTGCTACCGCTCCTAAATTAGCATAAAATATAAATCGAAGATCATTTGTAATAATTAGCGCGACATTTGCTGCTGTTTTTTAACACTATTTTTTAGCAGAAAAAACAAATCAGTTCCCCAGAGTTTTGCCTGCACTTTATTTGTTTAATTAGGAATCCCTTGGGCGGACAATGAAAACATGAAATGCTTTTGACTTTATTATGTGAGGGGTTTATTGCACTGAGGGAAATGTATGTACTTGTTTTGCTTTGGCTTAAAAGGATAATGTAAAGCTATGAATTAAATATTATCGTGAAAGGTTTTGTTGTTTTTTATAAATTATTTAAAGTCTTTTTAAATAACTTTATGTACCTTTAATAAATATTTAAAAAAGGTTTCTACTTTAACAATCATTTTTTTTTTAATAAAGTTAACCTTTGTCAAATATTGTTAAAAAGTATTTACCTTAAAAAAAATATTGTAAAAATTTTTTCAAGATATGTATCGCACAAATATTGAAGGAATTTGTTGTTTGTTTCCATAAAACGGACGCTTTTTTCAAGAATGTAATCAATTAAACCTATAAAAACTTAAAATATTTATTTTATTTATCAAACTTGTTAATATTTTCCCATATTTCTTAATAGATATACATTTTTATTTGTAGTGCACAAAATAACAGCTGAAAGCTGTCAGTTAAATTGATGCACCCCAAGGCTTTGGATTACAAAGGGCGAGGAGAGGCCACAGAAAACACGAAAACAAAAGCAAATGAGGCTGAAATTGCAGGAGCAACCAGCTCGATGCGAAGCTCGAACCACCTCAGCCTCAACCACCATCAGCACCATCTGATCCTGCGGAGCCACCAGCACGCAACTTGACTCCTGTTCGTCCTGTTCACCACAAAACAGGAGGAAGAAAAAAAATCGAAACGTGAATAAAAACTGCAGGAGCAGTCGAATTTTATTTGAATTAGCAACGCGCAATCAAAAACATTCAAACACGCATAAATTGAATCCCGTGGGATGATTTCTGTTTCGGGTTCCCAGTGGCAACCCCCTCTTGTCCTTTGTCCTGCCAGCAACTTGTCACGTGATTCCAATAACAAATACTGCCTGCCGGCCTGCCGGCCTGCCGGGGATCATCCCTTAGTCCATAGTCCTCGAACGGCGACGAAATCCAGCCGGAACCCGTATTCCGGCAAGCGTGGGTAAGTTATTTATCGGTCAGACTCCCGCTGAGGACCAGCACCACATTCTGGCCACCCCCTTTCATTCCACCTCCTGCTGCAGAAATCCTCCCCTCCTTTTTTGATTTTCTCACGTTTCTGCAAGTGTAAATGGCCTCGGTCATGGGAACACTTTCCATCCGTAATTGAATAGTTTTATTGAAAATTAGATACTCAATGGGCCCTAATTGATTGGCCAGCATAAGTTTAGGAACTAGGAGTGGTTACGGTTCTTTATAAATAATTAAATTAAATACAAATATATAGAAAACGTATGGATAAGCAATATGGGAGTGTTTGGGGAGTTAATTATATTAAATCTACAGTTTTATTTTACTCAGTCAAAAGAATTCTTACTCTCGTTTCTAAAAATATGCTTGACTTCAATTGAGTTGTCCCTGCAAATGGAATCCTCAAATAGTTTCCCAATCCATCACTCTGACATCTATGTACGTGCAACTCAATCAATATCCTACCCTGAACCATCTGCTGAAGATCATACGATTCTAGCCAAGCCAATTTTCAGCCAAGCCAGCAACATTGTGAGCGAGAGTGTGTCATCAAACCCTCGGTGGGGAAAAGCTAACTGCATATCACCTGGCTAGCGGCAGGTAAACCGCAAAACGCTAGCTTGTACCGTGCAGATTTTCCACATTTTCCTGCCTCTGCAGCTCCTCGGCTGAGTGCCTCACTTCAAAGTGTCAAACGGCCGCGCAGAGTCGCATAATGAAGTGCAAAATGTCATTAATTTGCCGACGTCAAGGTGCGAGTGCGAGTAGGGGTATCCCCGAGTAACCGAGTATCTGCTAGGCATCTGACTGCCAGTATCTTGCAGATGCAGCTGCACTCGGGTGCGGACAAAAGAAAGTCGGGCGGCGGAGAAAAAAAGTATGCAGAAATCCAAAACGAATCCGATCCAGGCCGATCCGCCTGTCCAAGCCACACGCCGACTTTTGTCTCACATTGTCACGAGTTGAAGGTTTTTCGAGCCACTGAGCAGACAATGGGGGAAAATGGGAAAAGGTGAGGGGGGAGGGGGAAAACATAGGGAAATACAAGAAAAATGCGCGCCGTCGACCAGACCGAGCCGCAATCAAAACAAGATCTTAGAACTATTGGCGCCTGATATGCCGCCACCGCCGCGCAAGCTCCATCTCCAGCTCCAGGTCACTGGGCATAAACGCCGCTTTTGAAATCCGATATTATTATCGGTGGAGGTCCGAGAGAAGAATCGGAGAACACGGTAACGGTAATTATAATCGAATAAAAGCAGACAACAGTCTGAAGCTTCCGACGCCGCATAAATTAGTCCAGAGTTTAAAAGAAAATAGAAGCTACGTCTATAATTCAAACTAATTTGTTTTATTGACAGCGTGTGCGCTTCGCGTTCTGTGGAAGATAACAGAGACCCTCCACAAATTGGTCAATTATGTGGGGTCCGGTACCCTTCTGTGGGGCTGGCCCAGAGGACTGGACTCCGAGGCGTGTTTCATTAGGCAGAGTGACAATAAATTAAGTTTAGACCTCATCGCCACTAATTAAAACGCGCTCTTGAGATATTAATCTGCTGGGAAGAAGCTTAGTCTGTGACTAGACTTTGTGGTTTAACACTGAAAGAAAATGTAAAAGAAAAAATACAAAGGGAGAAATAAAATATAGATACAAAAAGTATCTTTTAGGTTTAGTATCTTCTCCAAAGCCATGTAAGTCTTCAGCTTGCTTTGCCTTTGGTTTAATACCTATTTCTTATGATTCCTTTTTCTGATTATGAAAAGCTTACAAAATTTTCCTACAGTGTCCTATTATAGTTTGTTTTTGGGGACCACCCGCTTGGCATTGGAAAGATAGATCGATCGATCGCTGATCGGTAGCTTTGGCGCTCTCATCTCCAAACTAATAACCACAAGCAAGCTTGTGATTTTATTTTCATAAATGAATCATGATAATAAATTGTTTATGTTTCTTTCAGTTCGAATCGACTTGGACTCCACTCGAATCAGAGCTTCATGGGAAAAAGAGATTAGCATCAGCGTTTATGTTAATGCAATGTTGAGACATCATAAAAATGAAATATCTGCCGCTTTATTAGTTGCCAACCGCATACACATTTGGCGAGCTCTGAATCACTTGCAAATACATATCTTTGAGATATTTTCTTGGGGTGCTTAATTGAATATGCTTATCAAAGGCAAACATCCTTTTCGGGGTTTATTTTCTCTTTAAATTTTGGTATATATATGATATATATATATTTTTTTCAAAGTTGAAGGGCAACCTGAAGTTCAAGTTCGATAACGCGAGCAGGTACAGGAAAGAGGCACTTTATGAGAGATAATAAATATAAATATGTTAAATATCTTTAGCTTATAATTTATATACTTTTAAAGTTAAACTAATATTAGTAAAATTCACAATAGAATTTTAATTCTTACAAAGTTGTTTTTCCTATTTTAATATCTGTTTTCATACCCTTAGTTAGTTTTTAGTTAGAAGCTTCTAAGTATACCGATTTTTAACATTATCCCTTGAACTATTATGATTTTCTTTATCTAGAAACAAATTCTTTACCAAATATCACCTAACCATGATCCCATTCAACTCGCCATCAAAGAACCATTTAAACACAATCGAGAATGCAGTTAATTAAAATTCAAATGCACTTTTCTATATACACTATTGATGATCGTAAACCATTGTTGATTGTGACAAGGATCACGTACACCAAAATAGATCTCTCCCGGCTGAGCACACCGGTTCCATTACACAGGTTTTTGGCGCCAAATAAAATGGTATATGAGGACTCTATGCAATGCAAGGACTGCAAGGACTTCAAGACAAAATCAGTTCCTTGTGGTACGTGTCATGCAGGCAGATGTGGACCGGAGGGGTGACTTCCGACTCCTTGCAAGACGCTGAGGGGTTGGCCAACGGAAAGTAACGTCTGAAACTGCAGTTCCACCACCATTGAGAGTAAAGAATTCACCACCAGCAGCGGCTTTACTCCGCCGGAGGTTGTCTGGTGATGCTGTGGATTTTGGGGTGGGACACAACTGCGCCGCCAGGTAGATTTGCACGAACCTCTCCCGCTCTCGCCCTCCCTCTTCGCATTTGGCGCATTCCAAGGCACTACGGATCTCGACCAGGTAGGACTGCCGCCAGGTAACTTCCACCCCAAAATGGGCATGTGCCCGGGTGGAGAGTGAGAGAAAGAGGGGTTCCTGCGCCAGATGGCAATCGGAAATTTCATGGTCGCCGGGGGTTTGTTTTCCTGCCCGAATGCACCTATTTACCAGGAGGATGAGGATGGAGGAGGACCGGAACAATGGTCCGGGAAAAGGTTGATTTACCTTAGAGATCGGCGAGCTGTTTGTCCTGGTGATTAATATTTTTGCGTACGTCTAAGTGGGAACACTCTGCATTGTTGTTCTCGATTTAATGGCGGGGCCAATGTCACGTGCTCAGGTTTTGCCAGCTGCCCCGCAGGAGAGGATCCTGCCGATAGAGATCAATAGGAAAGCTAAGTGCTGGCCTTTCACAAAAGGATCCTTATTGAAATCCGTTAAGAATGCCAAAGGGGGGTACTTTTTTGTTAAATAAAAGCTGACAGGCGGATCACTTGATAAATGCAGTCGAAGGAATTATTGATTTTTTTAAAAATTATTTACACTTAAATACTAATATCTGGGATTATAAAATGAAAATTACGACTTAATTTATAGTAATAATTATAATTCTATATTTTACTTTAAAAAGAAGAAAAATAAAATATTGATAATTAAATAAAGCAAAAGATTTTGAATATATATATATATATAAGACAAAGACGCCTCGACCATTTGTAGAACTCTGTCATTGGAAAATCGTATAATTTGAGCCGAGCTTAGTACCATTCAATCAGCTTAGCCAAAATGATCTCTTAAAAGCCAAGAAAAGCCATCTCTTAGACGATCGTGGGACGATTGGGAGCTGGAACAAGAGCGATCCCCAAGAAGAGAGCCACCAGAGCTTGGGGTTGCCTCTCTTAACGAAGCTCCAAAGAGCACCTGCCTTGGAAGAGAGGCCACGGTATATAGGTGATCGTGTGAGGCGGAACTCTGAAAGAGGTTTATAAATAAACTTGCTGATCGGGTATACGTGTGTACATAATAAGCTCGCCACCAGCTGCCGCTCACTCACACCATGGCAAATCAGGGGAAATACGAGCTGCAGAGAGGCAGCTGGTGGCGATCGCTTAGAGAGGTTTCTACCTCTCTGCAGAGAGTGCCTTTTGTGGCACGTGCTCGCTTTTTACACACAGATTTGTTGGCGGTGCCAAATGCTCCCTCCTGCTTCCTCACGCACACCGCTCCATCAGACCATCCCTCTCGAACCTATGCCACGATCGACATCAGCAGCTGGGATCAGCGTTCAATGAACGCACAGCTGTGGATCTTGGCTCGTGGTGATTCGGGGTTGATTCACAGAATCACAGAATCCCGTGTCACATCGGAAGTAGGTAGCAGCCAGGATCCTCTTTCGCCCAAAGGGGGTTGACCGGAGTCCTGTGATCCTGCGATCCTTCAAGGGGGTTGAATAGGGAGTCTATAAAACCGAAGCGATTCTCGCCGGGTTGCATCATTCGAGCAAGGAACTCCAGGCGATCGAGACGCGCGTTGAGAAAAGCAAATGAGTGAGCAGTGATTCGCAGTTCGGTGTTATCGGTATCAAATACAGAGAAAGAGATCGGTGAATCGTGACCAGTGACCTAGTGATCAGTGATCAGTCTTACTTGGAAGTACTCTCGCAGAAATAATGGATAAACTCAAGTACAGCCGCTGTCCGCTCAAGAAGCGTCCGATAATGGTGGAGGAGTCCTATCAGGAGGATCACCTAAGTCACGGTAGGTTTTCTATAAGGATAATGATTTGAAAAGATTTACGAATTAATAGTGATTTTCATAAAAATCGTGTTGCTATCTAATGAGCTCCAAATATCAATTTCCCATATAATATTCCCTTTACTAAAGTCAAATATCCTTTCTTTGCAGACGAAGGACCCGTGGACTTGAGTGTGGCCTCGGCAGCTGTTCCCCTGGAACCACATTGGTCGGCAAAAGCCGAACCAGAACCGCAGGCTGTGCCTACGGAGCTGAGGCGTCGCTTTGATGCCGCCATGAATCAGACCAAGGAGCAGCTGGCCCGCCGCATTTGGGAGGAGACCCGTGAGATAGCTCGTGCCTTTCCCGATGTCTTTACCCGCGAAGAGATTGCCAAGAGCCTGGCACGTTTGGGTTATGGGGAATTCGAGTTGCCACCCGAAGAGGAGGTCATGGAACCCGAACCAGAGCCAGAACCCCAGACCGAGCCAGAGCACCAGATGCCACTGAGCTATGCCAGAGAGTCCACCAATACCATGATCAAAGTAGAGCCCACCGAGCAGGACTTTCCCCTGCGGAACTACAACAATAATCTGCTCAAAAGCATAGCGGAGTATGAGGATTGCATGAAGATGCAGCCTATAAAGGAGGAGCACGTGCCACAGCCGCCGATGTACTACCCACCGCCCACTCCACTCGCCGAGCCCGAGGATCTCTCTGTGACCCAAAGACGGGTGCTTAGCGAGAACATGAATCTGCAGAATGTGGCCAGGGCGCTGCTTAGCATGCAGCATATGGCGCCGCATACGCAGCAGCATCCTCTGCCGCCACAGGACATGGAGGAGGACCAGGAGAACCAGGACCACAATCCGCTGAAGATCAAGAGCAGCAACGATCTGTACTACCAGTGCCAGCAGTGCAACAAGTGCTACTCCACTTATGCCGGTCTGGTGAAGCACCAGCAGACCCACGCCTACGAGAGCACCGAGTACAAGATCATCCGGAGTCAGCCGGGTGGATCTGGTCCCATTGTGGACCAAACAGAGTTCTGCACGGATCAGGCATCGGCTCTTATCCAGGCAGCCAATGCCGCCTCGGCGCAGAGCATGCAGAAGCCGGTGGGCGTGCCAAGGTATCACTGCCAGGACTGTGGCAAGAGCTACTCCACCTACTCCGGCCTGTCCAAGCACCAGCAGTTCCACTGTCCCTCGGCGGAGGGCAACCAGGTGAAGAAGGTGTTTAGCTGCAAGAACTGCGACAAAACCTATGTCTCTCTGGGCGCCCTCAAGATGCACATTCGCACCCACACGCTGCCCTGCAAGTGTCCCATTTGCGGCAAGGCCTTCTCGCGACCCTGGCTCCTCCAGGGACACATCCGCACCCACACGGGCGAGAAGCCCTTCAGCTGCCAGCACTGCAACCGGGCCTTTGCAGATCGCTCCAATCTCCGGGCTCACATGCAAACCCACTCGGATGTGAAGAAGTACTCCTGCCCCACCTGCACCAAGTCCTTTTCCCGGATGTCCCTGCTGGCCAAGCATCTGCAGAGTGGCTGCCAGAGCGATCAGAACGGCGGTCCTGGAGGCTCCTCTGGTGGTGGTTTCGATCAGCAGCAGCTGCAGCAGCATCTCCAGGGCTACGAGGAGGGTCACAATCCCCACCAGGTCTACTATGCCGGCAGCGTGGGCAGCAGCAATGGCGAGGAGGAGGAGGCCGGCGACTACCCCTTGCCGCCGCCATCAGCTATATATTAAGAAGCACACACACACACAAGTCAGTTTAGCCAAAGTTACACCAAGTCAGATTCAGGGAAAAGTCAGTGCCAAAAATTAGTCAGCGCAATTATATTGCCTCTTAGGGTCTCTAGTTTATCACAAATATTTATTTAGCATTATCCCCTAATTACACCCCTTAAATATTTATCCAATCACATCGAAGTTAGTAGCTAGTTTTAGGGTCCGTTGTTGCAGGTTGTTTTCGTTGACAAATCCTTGTATTATAAATCGTTGTTAAAACTCATTCGTGTACAGATCGAAATGGTGCCACAGAAGAAACCCATATACCACAAGCCAACAATTTATTTTAAACTTATAATTTATTTTAATTTAATAATTATGATTTAAGCTATGTAAATATGGTGAAGGTAGCCAGTTATTTATAATTTCTTTTAAATTAATAAAAACAAAAGAAAAACGGAGTTTGGATTTTTATTTATTATTAAAAAAAGAAATACATATAATTAATATTTTATTAATAAAATTCACACTTCTCTTCTTCTCTGCCGCTCTAAAATAGATACTTATGGTACTTGTATCTCAGCACATCTCTCGGATGCACCTTTCGAATTGAACTGCAATCTCAAAGATGCAATCTCTTCAAAACTTCGTAGGTGTCGTTTATTTATCGCTGCACCATGGAAAAACTCCACAAAATCGAGACATTCAACCATCAATGGGGGGCTTTAGAGAAATAAGGAAAACCATAATATATATATAAAGCCGTTTATATGTATAAAAATCTATTGAAAATCGCTGCTTAAATCAAAATTAATTGCCAGAATAATAATTGTTTTGAACGTAAAGCGCCGAAATGCAAACGGCGAAAACCGGAGGAGAATTGGCGCAGCTGCAACTGCAACTGCAACTGCGACTGCGTCACCGGCAAAGCAGCAACACAGCAACTAGCAACATCAACAACAGCAGCAGGCGGCAAGCGCCAATAACAGCTTAAACACTGTAAGAAAAAATGAAGAATATATAAAGAAATTTTAAAAGAAATTAAACATTTATTTTAGAAAAGTCTGGGTTGAGCTTGGGGTTTTCTAGGAAAAATCTTAGAAAAGGTAAAACCGTTGAAAAATTAATAAAAAATAAGAAAATTAATAATAATATATAAAGAATAAAAATATTAATACTTAAATTGTAAGATATTACTGAAAATATAAAAAAAGTCGTAAAAATCAGGAGTCCCCTTCGAATTTCTTAACTGAAGGGAAATGTCTTAATACGTATTATTTTTTGTAAAAATATTTATTTGTTTAAATTTAATTTATAACGCACTTAATAATATAACATTATTTTTCTATTTTATTAAGTCACCCCCAATTTCTCTAAGTACCCGCCAAACGTCTAGTATTTTTGTGGGTCTGCTGCAGTTGGCGAAATCCACTCAAAACAACAAACCAAGCGATGAATCATCGATTTTGTTTCGAAAAAAATAGAAATAAAATCAACAAAAAAGTTATAAAAAATAAAGCCGGCTTGTGGTGCAGCCGCACGCAGCTAGATGGCGCTAGTGGGCAGCCCCAGCAGGCTTTTCAGGCCGAGTTCAATTAAACGCGTTTTTTTTCCAGTTGCCGCGAGTTGCCGCGACTCTTGCCACTTTTCCGCACTGCAGCCCAGCCGCACCTTACTTTATATATCCGAAGCCAACTGGAGCTAAAGGCCCCACCCACCCTTCATCTCCAACGGGCGGCTCAACTGACTCGCATTATTATAAATGCCGTCCACGCAGTTTCTAACGCTCTACAACTTCCAGTTTACTTTTTGTTTATAAGTTGTGTTTACTCTTTCGAGAATGAGGGGTTTAGTGGATAGTTTAAGGTTTGAAAGAGGATATAACATGTTTAAAGGGAAAAGTATAAGAAAACTCAATAGAAAAGGTTTAAGAGTTTTTTAGGTAATTATTAGGAATTTTTATAATATTTTATTCCAAGACTTTAATCAAAAGATATATTCACCAATAAATGTAGACTGTAATAAGTACAACATTAGAACAGTGTTCTGTTTTAATTACATTAATATATATTTAAAATCCTATTGTTTAGGGCATTTATGTATTCGTTTTCCCTGCCACTTGCTTCCGCTCTCGACCTGGCCAAGCGGTAGCTTTTTGGTCTATTAGGAAACCATGGCGTGGAGCCGGAGCCCCGCCACTTGAAAGTCATATTGCATTTGCCAGACAGCACTCGGACGGCCAGAACCGGGGACACTGCCTCACCTCTCAGGTGTCCCGTCCGTCCGTCCCCCCGGTGACTTTGATTTCGGGTGCGCGTGCTGCCGTTTTTGGGGGTTTTTTGAATGAAGTTTCCAGGTGCCACGCCCCAGTGGAACGCATGCCAGGTAGCGGCATTTGGTCAAAGGTTAAATTAGACGGGGGCCTGGTGACAAGTGCCAGGCAATCGTTTAGAGCGCTAATTTATGGGCCGCCGAAATACCATAGGAAAAAATGGAAAAATCAAAATCAAAGGCCGAAAACAACAAGCGAGAAATGTGCTCGAGTTTCATTTATTGCGGCTACGTGCAGAGCCGGCTTAATTGGCAGTCGGTTGGAGCCAAGTCAGCACTCAGCACGCCCTGTTCTTTTTCTAATTTTGGGGCCCGGCTTCCTTTGCCGTGGCAGTTTAATTAATCTCCGATCGCTCAGAATGCATTTTTAAATGCATTTTTCCCTCCTATCAAATTGATTTTTGAAATTATTACGAGCTTTTTTACTATTATTTAAATTCAGATATTCAAGACACGTTTCTCGCCGCTCGTTGGCCATTAATATTTAATAATTTCAATCGGCACATGAAACAAATTATGGAATATTACCAGCCGGGCGCCATTGTTTTTTGTTTTGTTATTTTTTTGTGATGCCTTTGTTGCTGTTATGGCCACTAAGCTGTACGTGTTGTTTGCTTAACGCGCCGAGTGTAAATTAATATTTAATTATGATCGTTCCCAGCTCGGGTCGGGGCGCTGATCGTGTGTTGAGTAAACGCCATTTTCTGTATTAAGATCTAATCGTTGTGTTTTTTAGCTGGTAAAAAAGCTGCCAACAAAGCGTTTAGGCCAAGACACAGGGGTTTTGACTTTGGCAATCGATTTTGGCTCAGGCTTAGATTAGCCAGGTTGAGCAATGGTTAGGTATTTGGTATTAAACATTAGGAGAATCGATGGGGAATTAAATGGTTATATTTAATGTATAAGTTTTGATTATGAAGTAGGGTGTTAAAACATAGAATAAAATACAAATTATTGCCTTTACATGACAATTAAACGTGAAAGTTTCGATAATCAACTTAAGTTTATAAAGTTAAGTTTTCTAGAGGCATCTTAAAGTAGCTCTAAAAAGATTTTGTACCAAGTAACTTATAGATTTATATAAAACTGCCTTTACTTACCTCTAAAATCCTCTATTAAATTTAATTTAAGCCCATGTTCTGACCATTTTGTTTTCTTTATTTTCTTGCTTCATCCCAAAGTCTTGCTCTAATAAATTAAGCTCTTCCTGAGACCCAGTTCTAGCCTTGTTCCACCGGCGGAGGAGTGAGCTGACAGCTATGATTAGCCACGAGCAAGACACAATCCTCGGCTGTCCATAACTCATGCCACACACACACACCAACACACCACACACTTTGGCGGAACTGACCGAAAATAAGTCGAAGCGGCCAAGTCATAAATCCGATGCTGTGCACTCGTCGACGTCAAATTAATCAAAAAGGCAACCAAAATGCAGCGCAGGCAAATTAGCCATAACAAAAAAACCGAACAGAGACCCAGAAAAAAAAGAACAAGCATCAAGTGGCAAAAGCCAAATGAGAACTTTTTTCCCACACTGAGCCAGGCGATCAAAGCGGACCGAAACGAACCGAACCGAACTGAACCGGCAGAGAGAACCTTTTCGAACAAATCACATGCAGACAACGCCCCTGAAATGGAATCGATATAATTATTTGCATTATTAATAATTACCATTGTCTCGCTTGGATTTCGATTCGGATTCGGATACGGTCTGCGATATGAAATTCAAATTCAAATCCAAACTCGAGTGCGTTGGCGTTCGACCGCACACAGAATCATAAAGCATGGTATCTAAGCTGGTAATATGCTAAAGAACAGCCAGTGACTTTTGTTTTCGCGGCGCCTAATTAATTCAAACCGCAAAGCTAGCTCCAGCTACAGCTACAGCTCCAGCTGAAACTGAAACTGAAACCAAAACTTCAATACGGAAATAAGCTTAATCTAACAGCGAGAAAAAGCAATTTGAAAACTTAATGTGGCTCCGGTTCGAATTGAGTTGAGGCGCCAGAGGCAAAACAATTGCACCGATCTCAGGTCTGTGGCCATATGTGTATGGGCCACCCACACCGGAAAGCCTGGACAAAATCTGGGCAAAACTAAAAAGAACCCTGAGAAGTAAAAGAAATCCGTCAACAGGCGACAGACAGCACATATCAAGACTCAAATGTGTCGGAGCCCCGAAACCCCACGAGGCAACCCAACCTGACCAGGCTCCACGCAAAGCTTCAACTTGTCAGCGCGTTAAGTGCTCAAAGAAACGTTCAAATGTATATATACAGAAAAATCCGAGTTCTTTTAAATACCACAAATATACATAGCTATGACTCATTGTTCTTTTAGCGCCTCGACTTTGGCTTTCCGTTGGGCGTTCAACCCGCACAATTGCGATTGCAGAGCAACCTGTTGTTTTTCTCACTTGCCGCAGACAACTGAAATCGGATTTATCTTATTACAGCACACAAAAGGCGATAGGAAAAAGATTTAATTATGCCCGTGCCGCGTATTAGTTTCCACTAGCTGTATGAGAACTTGAAAGGTAGGCAAATGAAGTGCAAATGCTCTTACGTTAATAAAAGTATCTAAAAATGGAAAAGTATCTAAAAATATATACAAATAATTAAAACATAAAGTAAACTTATTTATTTATATTTTATAATATTTATTTTATACAAGTTTATTTGTTGTAGTTTACTTACTGATCAAAATTCCTTTAATGAACTCACATTTCTTACTAATTTCTTTAAAAGTATTATCTCTATTTATATTTCTATTTAAAATATATACCCTGCTACCCTAATTTTTAAAAGGGTATTCTGGATTCTGTATATATATATGATGTGATTGAGGGAAGGAGTTGAGGGCGTGGGTGTTCGACCCGACGCCGTCGTCGCCATTGAGAGGGCGTCATGAAAGACAAAAGCCATCCAGTCACAAAATTGACATTTTGCTTTCAGCAGCAGTAGTTAACAAAAAAATATATTTAAGATGGAAGGGTAAAAATAAGCTAAAAAAAACAAATTAAGAGAGCGCAGAAAAAAATCATATTTTGCACGTTTTTTGTGTCGAGTGGCGACGAGCGAAACAAAAGACTTAGGCAACGAACTTGCCGCTCAAAGGGCTCGG